AATAACCGTATTCCCAGCACTTTCAGGAAGCTCCACAATAAAATCCATAGAGATCTCTCTCCAGGGTGCTGAAGGACTCACTACCGACTGAAGTAGCCCAGGAGTTTTTCACTGCCACTGCTTAGCCGCGGTGCACTTGGGGCAGCTAGCCACATAGCTTTCTGGGTCCTTTTTAAAAAAAGAATTCTATTTTTAGTAGGTGTAGAGTTTTTATGAACCCAAAGTTCCCAGCAATTTTCGAGTTGTGCCCAGCTTGCATCACTCTCAGAGCTGCTGGAACATATATTTTCTCTCCAACCCAAGCCAAATCATCTTTTATTATACACAAGTTCTTATGGGTCTGAAACCACTCTTCAGTTTCCAATGCTTTCTTGAATTCTTGGGCCACCGACTTGTCTATTGGCACTGTAGCCCTGGTTTGTGCTCTGGTAGTGACAGGCACTGCTAACTGCTTTGGGGTCAGAAATGGTTTAACTACTTCAGATTTTACACTGTTATATTGCGGCATTCTAGACAGGGCATCTGCCAGAAAATTCTTCCCCCCAGGGAGGTAATGGATTGTAAAGTTGAATCGGTGGAAATGCTGAGACCACCTTGCCTGCTTAGGGGACAGTTTCCTATGGGTTTTCATGGCTTCGAGATTCTTATGATCAGTCCACATTTGAAATGGTATTTTACTCCCCTCTAGAATATGTCTCCAAGTTTGCACAGGATAGGCTTCCTTCTCCCAGGCCACCCACTTCTGTTCAGTTTCAGATAACTTTTGGGAGCTGTAGGCAAAGAGTTGTAACTGGCCTTCCTTATTCCTTTGGAGGAGGACTGCTCCTATTGCCACGTCACTAGCATCGGCCTGAATAACAAAAGCCTCCTCTGGATCTGAGTGATAGCAGGGAATACAAGGCGAGATCTGGGGGGGGGAAACCCATGCAAGCAGTATATTAAAAGCAATATTATTATTCCTCCCCCGAGGGTCCCAGTGTTTGTTTGAATTCCAGCCAATCCATAGGTGGCACAGTGTTTTGGTAACTGGCTCCGTTGGCGCACACTTCAAGATCTCTCTCACTTTCGTTTCCTTCTAGCTCCACACGCAGACCGTCCCCAGATATAGGGGATACATTCCTTCTCCTGGGGGAAGGGCACGGTGGCAAGACAGTACAAAGCAGCTCAATGTATTCCCTCTCCCAACAGAATGGCAGGCCCCCAAAAATGGTTACAAAAATGGTTACAAAAGTAGGTAAACTATAAAAAGGGAAACAATACATTTCTTTGGAGACCTGACAGGAGGGCTCAAAAGGTTAACACCTTCCTAAACAGACAGACAGGCTAGGAATACATTAGCGGTGTCAATTTTGCTGTCCAAGGTAATTGAAACCTAACCCTAACCCTATGTGGATTTACCCCCCAATGGGATTTCCCATGTATTTTACCAGGAAACATAGATAAGGAGGCTCAAAAGATTAGAATCTTCTTAAGCAAACTGACGGGCAAGGAATCCATTAGCGATGTCAATTTTGCTGTCCAAAGTCATGGAGACCTAACCTTAACTCTAAGTGGAAATGCACCCCAAAGGGATTTTCCAATATATTTTAGCTTGAATCATAGATAAACAGGGCTCAAAAGCTTAGCACCTTCCTAAGTATACTTGCTGGCTAGGAATCCATTAGCGATGTCCATTGTGCTGTCCAAAGTCATGGAGACCTAACCCTAAGCATAAATGGAATTTTCCTCCAATGGGATTTTCCCATGTATTTTACCAGGAAACATAGATAGGGTAGGCTACAAAAGTCAGTGCCCTCCTATCTATACCCAAGCAGTCTGAATTTGTTGGCGATGGCCATTTTGCTCTCCGAGTTCATGGTGACTTAACCCTAACCCTAAGTGGAATTTTCTTCCAATGGGATTTTCCCATGTATTTTACCTGGAAATATAGATGGTGCCGTCTAGAAAAGCCTTTGCCCTCCTAACCATACCCAGGCACTCCGAATTTATTGGCAATGCCCATTTTGCTCTCTGAGTTCATGGTGACCTAACCCTAACCATAAGTGGAATTTTCCTCCAATGGGATTTTCCCACATATTTTACCAGGAAAGATAGATAGGGCAGCCTAGAAAACGGAGTGCCCTCCTAACCATACCCAAGCACACCAAATTTATTGGCGATGTCCATTTGTACACTCATGGTGACCTAACCCTAACCCTGTGGAATTTTCCTCCAATGTGATTTTCCCATGTATTTTACCAGGAAACATAGATAGGGCAGGCTTGAAAAGTCAGTGCCCTTCTAACCATATCCAAGCACACCAAATTTATTGGCGATGTCCATTTGTAAACTCATGGTGACCTAACCCTAACCCTGTGGAATTTTCCTCCAATGGGATTTTCCCATGTATTTTACCAGGAAAGATAGATAGGGTAGTCTAGAAAAGTCAGTGCCCTCCTAACCGTAACCAAGCACTCCGAATTTGCATGTCTATGCTCTATGAGTTCATGCTGACCTAACCCCAACCCTAAGTGTAATGCTGGCTCAGGAATTTTGGGAGTTGAAGTCCACGAGTCATAAAAGAGCCAAGGTTGCCTACCCCTGCCCTATACAGATGCTCCAAAATCAAGGCATAATTCATTTTAAAATTGGGACAGAAAAATCAGTGGATTTTATATTAGGTTTTTCTTGACATCTAAAGTTAAAACACCTAGCAATTATATAATAACAATTTTTGAACATTGTCTTCTGAAAGTTATAGTCCTACTTAACAGTAATTAAAATGCATTTAATCTGGTATCAGAATGTATCCTTAATGACAAAAATATTCCAAACATGGAACAAAGGATAATAGAAAAATGGTTTGTATTAACAGGAAACCAATTTCATCCCATTTTTGGCATAGTATGTCACAATAACATTCATACAGTCTTTGGATATGTTTCTTATATAAAGAGGAGACTACTTTTAAAGTTAAATCACTATAGGAGGAAATTAATTTGTATGCATTCCACCTAGGGCTCACTACTTTCTGCTGAAGAGGAATTCAACAAGCATTCTTGTTCTGAACTGGAATTTCAATCTCATGATGTAAGCTATTGGCCTTTAGACTTAAATTATGCAATGGAATATTTTCAATTCACACTACAGTATTGTGATTTGAGATCTGTTAATTCAGTTATTCTTGAATGTTATTCCAATGTCAATGGTTCCAGTTTCTCTAATGAAGAGAGAGACCCTATTCTTCAGAATGCAGAGCTAAGAAATGATGTGAGTAATTTTCTCCTAGATTTGCAAAAACATTGGCAAGTTGACCATTTACTTGCACCAATGGTCTAGAATTACTTTGATGATCTGGAGTAATATAATTCTTAGTAAGTTTAATTTAATTCCATAGTTGATGTCCTTTTTTAAAAGCATTCCTATTCACACTGCTTCACATTATTTCAAGCAAATTTATGTATTGTTTCATAGCTTTCTAGGAAGGATTGTCCTTCAAGATTTTCATTGCATAAATTTAGTGCATAATCTTTTCTAATTATACTAAATAGAAAATATTTAATTTTCTATGCATTCAGGCTTATCATTGGGTATCCACTTTGGTTTCAATCACTGTTTGGAAGAAGGAATGTCAGGATTCAGCTTCTGTTTGGATTTAACAAAAACTGAAATTCTGACAATTATTCAGATCTTTGTATTGTTGTTTCTTTGGAATCACTTTCAATATTGGCATGAAGGCTGCAAGATTTACTTATTTATTTTGATCGATTTAAGATGACTTAATAGTAGAGCTTGATGGGGGGGGCAATTACTCAATAGTTAAAGAGTCTGAGCTTATCATCTGGAAAGCGGACAGCCTGGGTTCAAGACCTAAACGCCACGTGACGGGGTGAGCTCCCATTACTTGCCCTATCTCTTGCCAACCTACCAGTTTGAAAGCATGCAAATGCAAGTAGATAAATAGGCACCACTTTGGTGAGAAAGTAACTGTGTTCAGTACACCTATACACAGTACACAGTATAGTCATGCCGGCCACATGACCATGTAAGTGTATTCAGAAAACACTGGCTCCCTCGGCTAAGAAACAAGATGGGACTGGCCCCTAGAATCTAACACGACTAGATAGGGGAAACCTTTACCTTTGTTTAATAGTAGAATTTAATACTGAATCAGATCTAATTTCCATCCAGAGCACTCTTCAGGGAAATGTTTGCAGAGGAGATCCCTCAAATTACTGTCTATCTTTTCTAGCAATGCTTATGAATGGCCACTGAGCTTGTGTGCGATGAGACCTTGTTTGTAATCAGATGTCTGTCTGTCTGTCTGTCTGTCTGTCTGTCTGTCTGTCTGTCTGTCTGTCTGTCTGTCTGTCTGTCTGTCTGTCTATCTATCTATCTATCTATCTATCTATCTATCTATTATATTTATATGCCACTAGTCTCACTGTTGAATGATTATTGCCAGGTTGGGCATTGCTTCTTGAATAATTTCAAGCAGTGGTTTCCAATGAAGGTTGGAGTTGTATGCTTGGGGGGAGGGGTTCATGCCAGAGGGTTAGAAAGGTTGGAGAGCAGATAGACTTTCTTGATTCTGAATTCCTGAATCTTGTTAGCCATCTGATCATGCCGATCTCTGACATAATTTCTTTGAATTCCTATCATCCAAAGATCATCTCGTTCTCTCTCCACCATATCGATCAAGATTGAGAAATGAAAGTTATGGGTTGCAAAACATTTGCCAACATACTAGACCTTCAGTCTGTAATTATATCTCAACTTCTGTAATAATTGCAAAAGGTTGTGCAAGTCTTTGAAATTTATTTACCCAGTGGTATCAGGAATCTTTTTCCCCCTCCATCTTTGGTTGCTAACAATATAAACAAATGTAGGGAGTTAATATTTAGCATTGCTTGGTATTTATCTTAGCAAGCAGAGTACTGCATTTGGATTTGTTCTGAGGTTTTGGAAATCTGCAGTCATGTTTCCAGTTCTGTTTAGCTTATGCTTGGTTGCAATAACCCATGTTGCTCTTGCGAGTAAAGGTAAGTGTTTTTGTATTTTGTTTTAACAAGATGGAAATATTATATTTCTTGGAAATTGATCAGTATATTGTGGCATGAGATTTTTCTTAAATGGTGTCTATGCATGTTAATTTGCATGTATGCATTTATGCTCCTTTTATGAAACCAAATTGTTGACCATATCTAGAGTCCTATTCACACATTCTGCTGCAGAGTCACTGGAAACTTGCTTCCCTCCATTTGCCTCCTGAATATTTCCAAAACATGCAAAATGGGATATTAAACTTTGTAAATTACTCCTGCAATTTGCCTCCTCCAGGGATTTATATCTCACTAAATGACACTAAAATGTTGCTAGAAGTTATCTGATCAAACAACTGAAGGCTAAACTAAGTGGCATTTCAATGCAGCTCCTTCTTTTTATATTATTTCCTAAATAGCTCAGTGATCCAGATAGGCACCGTAGCAAAAGAACGGTCTCCTTTTCCCTTTTCTTGCTGATGATGTCCCAAATAGTCTCCTTCTCAAATTAGTAAGCCAGGAGCCATTTTTTGATGGGGAACTGAGTGAGACTAATTTTATCCCCATTCTCTATCTTGTGATTCTTTCTTCAATACAATATATATGTAGAGTATTTTGAACATAGGCAAATATTTGTGTGTCTTTTTCACATCTCTAGTTTAAGCCTTAGTTTAGCACCCATTTTAACATTAATAAAATCTTCAAAATTGGTTAACATGTTAAGTAAAATAAAGGAGAATGTTTGTAGCTCAGAGTTTAAATGAGGGGTGCTTTCTGAGCTTGGTTGTTTTCTTGTAGACTTTCATTATCCAAACTAGATAACATTATCAATGCTAGTCAGACTAGCACTGACAATGTTACCTAGTTTAGGAAATGGTTAAATGAAAGACTAAATTTAATCTAAGTTTTAATTTTTTATTAACTGTTTTAGTTGCTTTTTTAAATTAAAAATATCATCTCCCTCACCAGAGTAGAAAGACAAGTTGTCAGCTGAAGAAATAAAAACATAAAATATACCCCAAAGTATGCTTATGATTAATGCTATATTACATTACTGTTACATATCTCAAAGATAGAAATATTCTGGCTGATCGTTCTCCTGTTATTAATAAGCAAATTGCTTGAAATGTTATAGAGAATTTTCAGCTAGGGACTTTGTGAATTGTACTGTAGGATTTAATTACCAGGCCAAATTGTTTCATCTAAATTTGTGAACTCATGCTTGAAGCATAGCAGGAATGTAGGACCTTGATGAGGGGGAGGGGTATTAAAAGTATTCAGAGGACAAACATTGTGGTTAAGGTGACCTACATGAGTGGAAATCTGTACACAACACAATTGTGCAAGACCAGCATCTCTTTCCCCACACCCTCCCAAGGGAAGGAGAACCAGGAAAAAACAGCAAAGCCAACCAAAAATAATAATAAAAAATTACAAAACCAATATTAAACAAATGAACATTTACAGAAATTAAACATAATGCTTTTAAAAAATTGGTTTGGGAAAAAAAAATCAAATTACCACCGGATTTTGACAGGTCATCTCTTTTCCAAATTTTGTCACAAATTACGCTACCAAATTCCCCGGATAACTTTTAGAAATGAAGTTGGCAAGGTAGGAACATTTGGCAAGACAGTTTTTCCAGCTTGAGTGAACAATTCTGTCCGCACATCCAAGCTGCCTCCCATCTCCTTGAAGAGACTGGCAAAATATCTGTTGATTAGGACAGTCAGAACTAAAAAAAGTGGCTAGAATTTAAAGCCCGTAATATAGATCTATATATGCAAAATGTGCAAGAAGAAAAATAAAAAGAAATAGAAAGAAGGAGCTTCCAATTTTCTTTTCAGAATATACAAGTATAATTACAAAATTATTTCTTACTCTGTAGCCACAAAAAGCTCTCATTTTTCGTAGTTAGTTGTTCCTGTTCTATCTTATCTTTCTTTCCTTTTGTGTTTCATTATCTTATATCTTATTCTTTAAAAAAGAAAGCAAATGAAGACTGATGGGTCTTGATTCCATTCCTCTAAACTCTGATATACAGTTGTTTTCTAAAGAATTTATGTTGCTAGGGTTTGATGATTAGATTGACTTTGTTGTTATAGAAATGGTTTGAATAGTTGAAGGAAAAGTCTTCATCATGGTTCAGTCCAAGCCGGGAATAAACAACATGGCGACTGCTTTAGGAAGAAGGTTGCAGTTTATTGAAGAGGAGAGCCAGATAGAAAGATGGCTCTGGAAGAAAAGAGAGAATGAGCACATGTAAGGAGTGGGTTTTTATACCCTCTGGAGCCTTTTGTTTGGAGTTGTTCCTGTGGCATGAACTTTGACATGAGTCTGAGTGTGCCTTTCTGGTAGACTGATGGTGGTGGGTTAATCCTATTATGTCCCAAGGGCCATATCCTGCTTCCCTGTGGCTGTGGCTGATGACTCTTAGATTTTTGGTGTGAGGGGTTGTTGATTCTAGGGATCTTTCTTCCTAATCCCAGCTTCCTGATTCCAGTTTTTCTGACAAGATTATCACATCTGGATTTTTGCAGACTGGGTTTCTGTTTGGGACAGAGAGACTTGGAGGGGGGATTGGTTTCTGCCTTTAAATCCTTTAGGGAAAGGATTTTTTAAATATTTCCAAAAACATTTCTTTCTCTGGGAGGGGACTGACTTTCCACAGAATTAACTAGAAACGTAAGGTTGAGGTTGTAAACTCTACTGCAGCTGAAAAAAATCACTGCTTTCTTTCTTTTTTCTCTGTGCTTTTCCTTTTCCTTTCTTTTTCTTTTGTCTCCTATTTGTATTTTACCTTATACTAAACTTTATTTTTTTAAAAAGAAATAAAGAATTTATGATGCATTCACATATCCTTTGGTCTCATTTGTGAAAACACACAATATACTCATTGACTGTTTATATTAGATTGAAATGAAATAGGTGGCAAATAAATTTAAATAAATAAATAACCAAACAAACAAACAAACAACCAAATAAAAAAATATTATTGCTCCAGGACCATGCAAGACTACTGTTTCATGTACCAACAAATCTTTTCATACATGACTTGTTAGTGCTTGGTGTCTTCTAGTTTGCCCAAGACCTCCTGAAATACCTCTGGCTACCACCAACACAAATAAAACAGCATACAGGCCTGGAGAAGAAATTGTATATCGGTGTAACCCAGGTTATGTCCCCCAGTCTGGCTCAAGGAGATATACATGTCCTTCATCTGGTGTATGGCATACCATTACATTCAAATGTATACGTAAGTATGTCCTTTCTGTAGTTTGCCTTTTTTTTTTGCTTTTTCCACACAAATCAATATTCTTGCTTTTCTTTTAATAAAAACCTATTCGCTATTTTCAGTTTGTTCTATTTTCTATGAAATGTTTCTTAACTTTTCAAACATAATATTTGAATCTTCCAAATTTCCATGGCTCACCCCTCTGCCCCCTCTCCTTAGCAAAATCATGAGATTTTTTTTTCTCCTCAGCAAAATCATGAGAATGGGATCATATTCTTGAAGTAAAAGTGTATCAATGTGCCAAAGTTTTAAGGAATTCTTTTGCTGCAGATCAATCTTAAAAGCTAGTTTGGTGCACCCGGATAGAAATGGAAGACTGTGAGTTCTAGTTCCGCCTTAGGCACAAAGTCAGATAGATGACTTTGGGTCAGTCACTCTCTCTCACCCCTAGGAAGAAGACAGTGCTAAATCATTTCCAAAATCTTGCCCAGAAAATTACTAGTCTATGCAGTCACTAGGAATCAATGATGACTTGAAGGCACACACATGTAGACAATAACAATAGCAATAGCAATAGCACTTACTTATACATTGCTTCATAGTGCTTTACAACACTCTTTGAGCAGTTTGCAATGTCAGCCTATTGCCCCCAACAATCTGGGTTCTCATTTTACCAATCTCTGAAGGATGGAAGGCTGAGTCAACCTTGAGCCTGTCAGAATCAAACTCCAGGCTGTGGAATGCAGAGTTAGCCTGCAATACTGCATTCTAACCACTGCACCACCATGACTCTATGCATCAAGGATTGGATCTTGGGACTGAAGTCTATACCACATTGATTAGTAAACCCCTAAATGGTCCTCTGCAGAGGATGGCGAGTGCTTGCAAGGAAGATTTGAATCATTTCTGGACTTGCAGAGTTTGTGTGTGTGTGTCCATTTCACTATTTTTGACTAAGACCTGGCAATTTCAAACATGCCTCTGTGATAGCAGCCCCAAATACATCTAGTCAATACAGAAAGTCTCAGCAATGTAGTAGAGTTTTACCAATAGTATCCTGAACAAGGATTCAGCGATATTAGAAACTTCTTAGAAAAGTTGGCTGTTTTGTTTTTAACCATTTAGTTGTGTCCAACTCTTGGTGACTTTATAGGCAAGTGCTCTACAATGCTACTCTGTCAAGCACAGCTTCTTTCAATTGTTGGCTGTTCAACTTTCCATTAAATTTGATGCTATCAAGCCAGTGGATTCTTTGCTTGCTCCTTCTTCTTTGTCCACTAACCATTCCTAGTATCCTTGCCTTTTCCAATGAATTTGTACACATAACATGGCCAAAGTAAATCAGATGTAGTCTTATGATTTTAGCTGCCAGTGATGTACATCCCATATTTTCAAAATGGCAATTTTTTTTACTTATTTAATGGGATTGCACACTGTCAAAGCCACCAGGATGGAGATCTGACTAAGTGATGATGATGATGATGATGATGATGATGATGACGACGACGACGACAACAACAACAACAACAACAACAACAACAATAATAATAATAATAATAATAATAATAATAATAATAATAATAAAGTTGGAAGGGACCTTGGAAGTCTTCTAGTCCAACCCCCTGCTCAGGCAGGAAATCCTATACCATTTCAGTCTCTTCTTAAAAACTTCCAGTGTTGGAGCATTCATCACTTCTGGAGGCAGGTTGTTCCACTGGTTAATTGTTCTAACTGTCAGGAAGTTTCTCCTTGGTTCCAGGTTGCTTCTCTCCTTGATTAGTTTCCATCTGTTGCTTCTTGTCCTGCCTTCAGGTGCCTTGGAAAATAGCTTGACTCCCTCTTCTTTGTGGCAGCCCCTGAAATATTGGAACACTGCTATCATGTCCCCCCTCATCCTTCTCTTCGTTAAACTAGACATACCCAGTTCCAGCAACCGTTCCTTATATGTTTTAGCCTCCAGTCCCCTAATCATCTTTGTTGCTCTTCTCTGTACTCTTTCTAGAGTCTCAACATCTTTTTTACATCGTGGTGACCAAAACTGGATGCAGTATTCCAAGTGTGGCCTTACCAAGGCATTGTAAAGTGGTATTAANGTCCAGATCCTCCTGTATCCTAAGCCTGTCTTCTGGAGTGTTGGCTATTCCTGCCAGCTTGGTGTCGTCTGCAAATTTGATGAGTTCCCCATCTATCCCCTCGTCCAAATCGTTGATGAAGATGTTGAAGAGCACTGGGCCCAGAACAGAGCCCTGGGGCACCCCACTACACACTTCCCTCCATGTAGATGTGGTTCCATTGAGGACCACACGCTGAGTACGGCCGGTCAGCCAGCTACGGATCCATCTGGTAGTGATGCTGTCTTATTCCCTTATTAGGTTGAAGTATCTTGTTAGACAGGGTCAGTATCTAAAGTAAGTCACTTTATTCTGGCATCCATGGATGAAAATCCTACAAACAACTCTCTTCTTTTGGAAGATAAAAATTATTACAAGGAAAAAAAGAGTCAAATTAAACACTTTTATTGCCTTTTCATAAGGTGTGAATTGTACAGCCTAAAATGATTGATTTACACTTCCTAGTAGGAGGATTAGAGTTGCCCCTCCTTTATTTACCCAGATCACCCCTGGCACTTATGTCAAGCAAGAAGAGCAGGCATTGAAAATGGTAGGAGTTCTTCTGTTAAAGAGATCTGTGTACACCCTCAGATCAAGCAATCACATTAGTAGGATAATCATCACCATGGGTACATTAAATTAATCCCCAATTGCTTTGACTTCTAAGTTGGAACCTATCCTTGGGCTCTATTTGCAATGGCCTCCTCACTGGTCCGCATCACTGACTATTTCCTTTCTTTTGAAATTTTTTTCCCCCAAAGAATGCTTTTGATAATGCAAAATAGATGGAAACATCAGTAAAAGCTTTTCTTGCTCTGGTGAGAAAAGCTGTAATTATTGGTTTCTTTTAACTCACTTAGTTATTTAAAAAAAATCTCCAATCATGTTTAAAAGGGCAAATAATATAGAATACAGTACATTAGGCAAAAACAGATGAAGGCGAACTATTCTGAATGGTGTGGCTTCTTGAAGCTTATATGATATTAGACCTTTTTCTTAGGGACAAATGTGTTCAAAGAAATGTTGGTACTAAGAACTTAAATTACTCCTAGGGCATCTGCTTCCCAGCACTGACTTTCTGCAGAAGTATTTAGCCTGAGAAAAAGCTTCAATTACTTGATCTCCACAGATCTCATCCTTTCTGGCCTGTTGTGACTGGAACACCATTATTCTTGAGTGCAAGCAGGTTAATTTTGCTATTGTGCTTACGGGTTTATGGTCTTAGTTCATCAAGCAGAAAATGATCTATTGTTAATAATCTATCCATCCATCCATTGAAATGAATTGGTTTAACTTGGTGATTGCTTCATGTTTACAGTGTATCTATTTGTCTCTTCCCCAATTAAATATTAATCTATGTATATATATATATATTTATATATATTAAACAGCCAAGAAATGTCCCTATCCTGGACCCTTGAATGATGGAGCGATATACGTCGATGACCTCAACTACTTGAGTGTCATAAACTTTTCTTGTAATACTGGGTAAGTTTGTATACCAGCCTATTGAAATGGACTTTTGTCTCTCACAAATTAAATTTGTAACATGTACTTTATGTTATCTATATCAAGTAAATGCATAATATTCTCTATTCTTATTACCTTTGTTGATTTTTAAATGATAAATATCTTGCTTTTAAAAAATGGGGGGTGTGAGGACATTTTATTTCTAGTCTTAAACTAAGAGTTGATATTATATCTCTATGTTCTCTATATCCTTGGAAGAAGTCGAAAGTCATTCTTGGCCTATGTTTGTATTTTTCTTTTTCTTTAGGCTTTTTCACATTTTTATCCCTATTCTCCTTTTAATCTTTATCATTTCTTTTGATTATTAGTTTGTGTTGTTTTCAATGCTTTGTAAAATGCAATAAAATGATTTGGGGAAAAAAACATATTCAGCCGTTACAGGTTTTCCTGGGAATATGATATTATTGTTTCAAGAAAACAAATACTGTAAGGGCCAGTTAGAAATCTCAGTCTGTATATTTTATGACTCCGTGGCCAAACCATTTCAAAGGTCAGTTGTGATATGTTTCAAACACTATTAAAATGTGTAAAGAAGGAAAATAAAACCAAAGCCACACTTTGGCCCTGATCCTGCAGCACTTTCTAACTCACCCAAAGTTCCTTCTTGTGAGTCTGGGAGCAGACAACCACATTCACTAGATTTCCCATTCATAAATCCTTGCCCACCTTCTCCAGAAAGTCCCTGGTTTTCATGAAGCCTTGCACCAAGGCAAGGCAAGAGGGCATCACTTGTCTCTTCTCTGTTGACCAGACAGGTAACAAGCAGGTGTGATTCAGTTGCTGCAGTCTGTCGATAGTTAAGAAGTTTGCTACCACTTCTATAATAAGAGGCTCCCCCCCTTTTTGGGGGGGTCTAGGAATTTTTTTTCCTTTCTTTTTCTAAAAAACTAGGCAGGGAAGCAACATTGTCCCCAACCATATCTATGTGGGTGGAGTTAGTTGGACTTTGTACCAGTTTGAATCATTTTGGGGGGGGGGGTAAATTTAGTCCTTCAATAAATGGGGTGATTGAGTCAACTGGCACCTTCGATTGTAGTTTCCACAACATAGAAACCTCCTAATTGACTCAGTTAAAAGATATTTGTTCCAGATGTTCAAAAGAGAATCCCGACAATTTAGCAAGGTTCATACATTGTGTTAATCCATGATTTCTTTTCTATTCACTTTGTTGAATAAATCCCAGTGGCTGGGTGGACATATCAGTATAATTCACAAATCATGTTTCGGAAACCATAGTGGCTGAATTTATATAAGACAGGAAGCCAAACCAAACAAAATATATTAGAGTGGAATGCAATAAATGCTCCCTGGTCATTACAGGTAGTCCTCGACTTACAATTGAGCCCAAAATTTCCATTGCTAAGCAAGGCAGTTGTTAAATGAGTTACGCCTCATTTTATGACCTTTCTTTGCCACAGTTGATAAATGAATTACTGCAGTTATTAAGTGAATCATGTGATTCTTAAACTAATCTGGCTTCCCCCATTGACCTTGCTTGTCAGAAGCTGACTGGGAAGGTTGCAAATGGTGATCACATGACCCCGGGACAGTGCAATTGTCATAAATATAAGCCAGTTGCCAAGAGCCTGAATTTTGATCATGTAACCAGGGGGATGCTGCAACGGTCATGGGAAAAATGGTCATGCATCATTTTTCTCAGTGCCGTTGTAACTTCAAACGGTTACCAAATGAATGTTGTTAAGTACTGTATTGTTATTGCCTGAGCCCCTACTTTGCTATTAGAAGATGTTTATCAAGCATGAAGTAACCATTTTCAGAACTGTTTTCATGAAAGTATTTTATTCTCAGGTTTATTCTTGAAGGACCAACAAGCAGCCAATGCCAGGCAGATGGGAGCTGGAGTGCAAGCCTGCCTGAATGCCAAGGTAAGTATCAGAATAAATTAATACACATACAAAGAAATGCACCGACTGTCTCACTAATTGGAATAGTGAATTTATCCAGGTACTTAAGTTTTTTCAATGTGAAAATCTTTAGATGGAAGGACAATTGAAATAGGAAATTTCTTTTAAAATGATCTCAATCAGAAACATTCCTGAGGGAGAGCTATAATATTGAAAAATGTTGGAAATAAGCCCAAACCAGGAAACTACATTTATGGCTTGGCTAGGCTTTCTATACCTGCCTTGCAAAACTTGAAATGACCATGAGGTGGCAACAAAGAGTGAGAATTTCTTACATGTCTTGGCTGCCATCTATAGGTAGTCCTTGACTTATGAACACAATTGAACCCAAAATTTCTATTGCTAAGCAGGACAATTGATGAGAATTTTGCTCAATTTTACGACCTTTCTTGCCTCAATTGTTAAGTGAATCATTCAGTCACTAAGTGAACCTGGCTTCCCCCATTGACTTTACTTGTTAGAAGACAGCTGGGAAGGTTACAAATGATAATCACATGAGCCCGATAAATAACTCCCATAAATATATCCAGTTGCCAAGCACCCAAATTTTGATAATGTGACTATGGGGATACTGTAACAGTCGTTAAGTGTGAAAACCGGTCATAAGTCACTTTTTTCAGTGCTGTTGTGATTTCAAATGGTCACTAAACAAATGGTTGTAAGTCGAGAACTACCTGTAATGGTCATCCAATTATTTTATAGCCCAGGTGTGGTAATCTTAGCTCAGCACAATGTTCAAATCTGCCTTGTGCATTTTTCATCCAGATTTATTCCTGAATAGCTACATATGCAAATCTTATTCACATAATTAATGAGAAGCAGTGGATGGACTTCAGTACATAAAATAAAAAAAAATAGAAAAATACAACTTGAAATAAAGATTGAGGAAATGTTACATCTAGTGGTGTGTGGGCGAGCATTATCATGAACCAACATCACACTGGAAGTGGTGCCATAGAAAATCCAGCCAAATGTGAAGATGCCAAAGGAGTACTGCTAGTGAAGTTCATGGAGTGTGGTTCGACCATCAATTCAGAAGTCTAATGTGAAACGTTACGAAAACTCAGACGAGCCATCCATAACAAGCGTTGGTGCATGCTGACTTCTGGTGTGGTGTTGGTTCACGATATTGCTTGCCCACACACCGCTAGACACACCGAAGAACTTTTGAAGCAGTTCCGTTGGGATGTTTTTAATCACTCCCCCCCATTGCCCAAATTTGGCGCTGAGCGACTACTAAGGAGTTTCAAACCTTGTAAGACATTATGGCAAGTGCCTCAATTTGAATGGCGATTATGTCAAAAAGTAATGTAATGTTGTAGTTTTCTAATGTGTATAATAAAAGTTCTGTATCTGCGAGTATCTGTCATTGATAACCAAGCAGAGGTTTATTTCCGAATTGCCCTCATATATAATGAATTCCATAGGGCAAAAGTTTATGTGTGATTTTTAGCATTTTGGGGAGGGGCGTTGTGTTAAACAGATTTGCTTTGTTTTTCTAGCTGTGATTTGCCCTCCACCTCCAGTTTCTGAATTTGGAGTTCTCTCTTACCATAAAATTGGTTCTAGAGATACATTTATTTTCCAAGACACAATCAGATTTAGTTGTCTGTTACCTTTTGCGCTGTTTGGAAGTGAAACAGCTACCTGTCAGGCTGATGGAAGCTGGAGTGCGTTACCTGAATGCAAATGTAAGTCCTATAATATAGTATTGTTGATGGGAATTTGGGGGTATTGGCAAAATATCTTGAGAGAACCACATTGGAGAAAGCTGGCTTAAAGTAAGATTAGGTACGTCGCC